ACAAATCTAACTTATCATTAGAGTAAGGAAGAATAAAGTAAGAACAAAGCGACTAGAATTTGTGAAGAAGTCTTCGTTTGGTTGTTATTAAACACAAAGCTACACAACTGGCTATCTGTGGTCTGTTCACCACGGGTGATGAAACCCTATTTTTTTTTTTAGTGCCGTAAGCCTAGGTGGTGGTGATGGTGGTGTGGGGACGTGAAGATCAAATTTGAAACACACGTTAGCAGTTGTCAGATCTACTTAAATTATATGGAGTATCACTTGCATATTTCTACATTGAAATGTTATGGGAGAGCGCTGGGAATATTGTGATCTGTGATAAAACCAAAAAACAAACAAACGGGTGTTAATAAAAAAACAGGATATGAAAGAAGATTGTTGGAAGATATCACTATGAAGAAACTGTCGTGTTTTTGGCACACAGCGCGAAGGGACGGAGAAAATAAAAGCGTCACGGAAAGAAAAGTTGACGTAGGAGTTATAAGAAAATCTAACGATCAGGAAGGTTGGTTGGTTGTTTTAGGTGCAAAGCCACATTGGACTGTCTGCTGTGTTCACCGCGTGGAATCAAACCCCAGATTTTAGCGTTGTAAGTCCGTAAACTTACCGCCGTCCCATAAGAGGAACGGGACGGTCGGAGATGATTCGCGTCAGCCACATTCATTAACATTTATTTTTTGATGTGTAAAAAAAGGAGCAAGTATTTTTCAAGTACTAAACTTTAGCAAAAAAATTGGTAAAGTATTGACCAGTTTATCAGAAGAAGGAGTATTTGTATAAGTTTCCCTTAACTACCGGTAATCTATTCTGACATAATAAACACATCGTAAGCTAGTATGGGATTGTCACAAGATATGTTAACTTATGCAATGTTAGTATTGGATAAAAAGTTTACAATTTATCATCAAACCTTCACGTTTGATATCACTGTGATAGATTTTTGTATATTATATTTATCTATAATAAATACTGTAAAGGTTACCAAATAAGTAGTTACACACTCATATTTTAAAAGAGAAATTGACATTTTTATTACATGTTGACATATTTATAACACATACGTAAGTAAATAAAAATTTCCTTTATAACATATGTAAGTAAGCAACTGAAATGACGTAATAACTGTTGTTATCATGAGCACGTATTCGATCAGCAAATTCATTCTGATAAAGAAATATCAATTATAAAATGTCACAGTAACGGACTTTAAATGTTTAAATTGTAAAGATTGTGAAAAGACAAATAAGCTTCAGGAGGATATATATAAAGACCTCCTGAAGAAAGTCTTTATCACGTGTCTGAAGACCACAAATTCTTCGATACAACAGTTTTTCAGTTGTGAAGATTTTTGCATCTTGATAGCATCTTAGACATGAAGAACCTGATGCTGCTTTTAGCAGCGCTCCTGGGTTGCCACTATACTGGTAAGCTCTTCATTTTAACGTGGCATATTAAATTTATGAAAAGTGCTGATTATTTCAATAATGCTAGGTAGCAAAATTTGTATATTTTTTTCGTCGTTCTGTTACGTGATTCAACGTACTGATATTAGGGTATGATAATGTCATGAAAATAAATACGTATAGTAATTTTAAATATTTGTTAAACGCTTTTGAAACTCAAATCCTCCGTTAACATATTTTTTCAAGGAAACTGTTTGACAAATATCAACCAAAAAAGCTTTCTTATGACTTTGTCGATTTAGAGTTAGAACATGGCCCAGTTTAAAAGAAAACTAAATTTCATACTAAAACTTTGTATTCATTATTTTGATAACTAATATTAGTAAAATAACTTATATAGTTTTTATAAATACAAGTTGAATATTTATAACGAGTTAGTTGGAGAGGAATATAAAAAACAACAACAATGTAATATAGTTTTTAAGAACTACAATATTTGACGCTGGATTTCCCGGTGGACTCTGTTATTTTATCGGATTTTAAAACACATTTTGTTAAACTACATATGCACCAAATAGGTTTTATGTAGATGACTTTGTTGCTTTACGGGGTTTATAATAACATCCAAGCGACAAACACACGGAATTAAACGAAAACACCATCAATATTACAATTAAATTAATGATGTGCAATTATTTATTTTCTAAGTATTTTACATATAAAACTAATAGTTTCACCCAAATATTTTTAATCAGTTCTTTACAAAGTGTGTTGAAACACAAACTTAAATTATTCAAAATGATGTAACATGTGGGACCAACCGCTCGTGCATAATATAAAGACTAGTAGATAATTTGGGGATTAATACTACATTTTTTTATGAAACCTATAAATCTAAACAGTCGTACGCCTTAGATACGTAATAGTTCAATATAAATGTCTAAATAATAATATTTCTGTTTGAATAACCTGGCATTACAAACACGTTATCAACTGACGTCTCACCAGTTATAATATAGCAACTTGAATATAATTATGATAACAACATTATGTTAATCTTTAGGTACCCTAGCTAGCGTGCTAAACAATGACGTCGAAGACATTATTTGCCCCAAAGAAGAAGGCTATTACGCAACCTCGGAATGCCACACGTACTATGACTGTAAGAATGGAATTGGCACTAGGAAAATCTGTCCATCCGGGCTTCATTTCAGTCGTATGACCAGAATGTGTGACTGGCCTGCTTTTGCTGGGTGTGAAAAAGGTTAGATAAATTTGTCTTTGTAAACCAATAAGTTAAAACAACATTAAACAAAAAAGAAAAGTGTTTTAACGTTATAGGAATATGTAACTTTTAGAAACTATAACATGTATTCAAGAATTACCAAACTGTTCAGAAAAAATGACAAACTTATAACTTTCCACTTTCTGACATTGGCGTTTCTATTTTCAAAATATTGATATTTTATATAAGAAAACTACGGAGTTTGCAGTAAGGTTAGATTACGTTTTGATATTTTATAAATTTTTGTCTCTCAAACCTGCATTATAATAATACGTCTTTTGTGGCTTGTTTTGTGGCGTCAATATATATCGTATCAACAACATTTGAATGTTATATTTGATATACTCTTTAAAAATTAGGCTTGTTTTGTGGCGTCAAGATACATCGTATCAATAACATTTGAATGTTATATTTGATATACCTTTTAAAAATTAGGCTTGTTCTCTTCCGTATTTTCGACTAACACTAAACAACTATAATATACTACAAATTTTAAGTAAATTTTCTAAACAACTTTTTGCTCTATTTAACAGTTTTTGGTATGTTATTCCATTATTTACTGTTTTGTTGTTCACAAAAGACGTTGTTTGTTTGTTTTGTTTTGTAATTAAGCACAAAGCTACACAATGGGCTATCTGTGCTCTGCCCACCACGGGTATCGAAACCCGGATTCTTGCGTTGTAAGTCCGCAGACATACCGCTGTGCCACTGGGGGGCCTAATTTTTAAAGAGTATATCAAATATAACATTCAAATGTTATTGATACGATGTATCTTGACGCCACAAAACAAGACTAATTTTTAAAGAGTATATCAAATATAACATTCAAATGTTATTGATACGATGTATCTTGACGCCACAAAACAAGACTAATTTTTAAATAGTATATCAAATATAACATTCAAATGTTATTGATACGATGTATCTTGACGCCACAAAACAAGACTAATTTTTAAA